CAAGAAGCTATTAGTAACAATAAGCTACTAGTAACAAGTGCATCGCTTCTAGTAACAAGTGCCTTGCTAGTAGTAACAAAAAGCTAGTAGAAACAAATATATGGAATTTAGTTATAGTTGAGATGCCTATAGATGCCTAAGAGCGATGCTTGAGTGCAGGCTGACATCAGTCTATGAGATTGTCGACGACATTTTCTTGCGAAATCTCATTGAGGACGACAACACTGGAGTGACCTTCACCGGTCTGAAGGCAACACGGCACAGCACAGCGGGGAGGCAATATGTCACGGCTCTTGAAATCGTTCTGGCTTCATGCAAGACATGATGTGCAAGGTGTTCCATTGCTAACGTACCTCGTAGATCCTGCAGAGATGTTCTCACCCACATGCACAGTGTGGACTATTGACGTCTCTTCTGTTTTGCCTATGTTGACCAGTAGTAGAGGCCGCTTGGGATTGCAGGCACTGCGGCTGGTCCGCATCACTCGCATTGTAAAAGTTGCACGTCTAGCCCGTGTGCTCAGGCGCGGAGGTTGCATCGTTCCTTCGATTCGAAGCGTGAAAGACGTGTTGAAATGTGAAAGACGTGGGGTAGGACCAAAGTCCAGCACACCCTAGAAAGAGAGGAAGGGAGGGGGGAGGCCGCGCGACTGAGGATGGAGCTGCACCAAAATGAGGAACGATGGTACCTAATAGTTAGTGATGGCCCCTCCTACTAGCGATGGCCTCCAACCTATCAGCGACGCACAAGTTCCCGAGCAAACTTGATTCATTGATTCAGAGGTTCGTGTGTGCTCCATTCGCTGTCCTCAGCCCACATTGCAGACCTTTCGTTTTGAAGCTTTAGGGATTGTTCGGGTCAATTGATTCCTCATGCAATAACGCTGTCTTACACCCGGCCACAAAGCCCAGGAAAAAGGTTTTGGTTGGCATAGATGCCTGAGCATCCTAGGGCCTAAGGCTGTTGTGGAAGGAACAGATTGAAACCCACCTAGGTTATAGCAAATGATGAATGATGGGCTCCCCAACTTGAGTTCCATTCTTTGAAGCGAATCATGCTCGATCCCTAGATTTGCACGCAGGTTTGTGATGGCGTTGCGGACCCTCATCTCCTCCATCATTTACACACTGAGACTTGGAACGAATGCTGCTAAGGCTTTAGCATTCATGATCCTTTGTGCGGACGAGCTGAGGACCAGAGGCCCCCAGACCAGTATGTAGGTAAGAGGCGGCTGTTTGGTCAGTGTTCCATTGAAACATCCTGTTGGAGTCCTACTCTGGATGTTTCGTTTGCCACAGCTGCACCATTTCAACATATTTCAATCGCATTTCAGGCATTCATGACATGCATACTTCCCATACAGAGTGTCACAGGAGGGCCCGAGGCCTCGATATTGAGACAACACGACACCTCCCCACATGCCCCTCTCAGCCCCTCCCAGCCCCTCCCAGCCGCTCAACGATGCGGACTTGAGGAAATCCCTGATTTGGGCGATGATTTTGCTGTCGCTCATCGTCTATGTGCCTCGAGAAATGTCGAGAAATTGCGCGGAAACGGTGCGCGGTCTGTTCTTTTGACGCTACTAGGGGCTCCTGGCATCGCTACTAGGAACAAGGACGCTACTAGGGGCTCCTGGCCTTACTACTAGGAGCAAGGACGCTATCTTTTAAAAGCTCATTTCTGAGTTGGTGAACCTGTGGATTTCTTCAGGCAGTGTAGGATGCCACCAAGGCCTCCAACCTAGTAGCGATGGCCTCCACCCATTGTGAGAAGTTGGTTTGGCTCACAAGGTCTTTGCCGTCCTCTTCGCACAAGCTGTGGGGGATGTGCTGAATTATGATCCAAGTGTATTACTCACTCGAGATGGAGACTACGATGCAGCGGTCAAATACTGGAGCTCATTGGAGGCGCTGGACATCTCGGGGCACACTGGAGACATTCTGTGCGATTGGCAGGTGTAAGTCTAGGAGGATGCGAATGCTACGCCCGTGCATCATGGGATATCCCTAACAAGGACTTAATTCTCTCAGGAGGGCCATTGTTTTTTTCTTTTTGGTTTGCGTTTAGGATCTTTTTGGGATTTGCTTTTTGTTGCTTTTCTGGCTCTTCCTGCCTTCTCTACGATTTCTGGTGTTTGTCTTGCTTTTCATAGCTTTTCATTGCTTCTCTGTGGTTATTATTTTCTTGCTGATCATTTTTCTTGCTTTTCTTGCTTTTCCTTGCTTGTCCTTTGCTTTTCATTGCTTCCCTATGATTTCTCCTGCTTTTCTTACTTTTCCTGCTTCTTTTGCGCTTGTCTTGCTCTTCCTGGGTGCTTTTCTCCTGCTTTTCTGTATTTTTGTGCCTCTTGTCCTCTTGTGGCATATTATTTCCCCATTTGCTTTTGCTGTCGTCGTCGTCTTTTTTTCTCACCCAAGTGGATGCAAGTGATTCCTATTTATTAATGTTTGCACGCTTCCGGTTGCAGGAGAGTATGCTGAGCCTGTTCATGAGCATCGCTGGTGGTTTGAGCTGGGACGAAGCCATACGGCCGCTGCAGGCCGGATAAGCCCAACCGAGGGGGACCAACGGTGGGCAATACTAGGAGCAAGGACGCTACTGGAACATGGCACGTGAAAGTGAAGACAATTTAGGCCACCTGGCGCGAGTTGCTTTACGCAAGTCGAATCTTGTAAGGGAGATCATGCAGGCCCGCCAGCTCGTTTGCTACACACTCCAGAAATGAACACAACTACTAACTACAAATGCAGGCAGCTGGCGGGGAAAGATCGGCGCAGTTTCCGGATTCATGCAATTTTGGCCGGAATTTTTCAATGGTTGTGGTCCCGCCTATGTTTCATAAGTGTGAACTTCAATATGCTCATCAGCACTACTGCGCAACTGCAACAGTTGAGGTGCCTGGTCTGGTCTTTAGGAAGGCGAGTTCACCAAGTTCATTTGCCGTTTGTCCCACGAGCCGAGGTACTAGGTTGGAGGCCATCGAGTAATTAGGTTGGAGGCCACAGAAAAGAACAACCAGAAGGGTCGACAGGGTTGTTGTGACAAACAGCGATCGTTAGCTGCTGTAGGAAGACCAGACTTAGAAGCCTCAAATTCGTTCCATAGGGCCGGGCCTTCAACAGGTTGCAATGAAAGTGATATTTGTGGAGATTCCCGGGCCCCAAAAAGACTGCTCAACGGGAGGAGTAGGTGCGGAAGGACCGAATGAAGTTAGTTTGTTTGGACATGCTTCGCGTGCCTCCCATGGCAGGCCATATCTACAGGTTGGCTCTTCGTCTTCGTGTTCTACATCTCCTTCACATACTTCGCAGCATTCTAGTTCAAACACGATCAAAAGCTATTTGACTCTTTGACGTTTTTTGTTTTCATGTTTTCTTTCCCACCTGACTTTCCACACAGAGTCTCATGCATGCGTCACGGGTGCTACGTCATGATTGTTTAGTGGGAGCCTGTGAGGTACTAAACGTATCTTGGCTTTCAGAGGGCGAACAGTGGAGACGGAGGGAGAGGGGAAGTGTGAGAGTGTGGGAAGAGGTAGTGAAAGAATGCCGGACAATCTTCTATTCCATTCAGGTGGGTTGGCAATAAGAGAGATATGATATACTGTAATTTTCTTTAAAGCAGTGCTCGTGGACTGACACTTTCAGGTACTGAAAGAACAAGCCAGATAGTACCCAATCCCTACACCAATTGCTGCTTTTTGTGTTGAAGGGAAGCAGGCATAACCCAGAAACACATCCAATGCGTCCTGATAGAATTTGAGAGAAAAAAGGCACTGGTACCAAGAAGCTACCATATAGATTGGAGGCCATCGCTATTAGGTTGGAGGCCATCGCTACTAGTAGTAATGCACTGGGTACTAGTAGCGACGGCCTCCAACCTAATTAGCGATGGCCTCCAACCTAGTAGCTTCTTGTTATTAGTAGTAAGGGAATTCCCCTGGCAAATTGGCATCCAAAAGAATCTGTTGTGCTCAGCTCCAACAGCCCGAGGTCGTGACTGGCGTGCCTTGCTTGCGATGTGGTGACTGCGCAGTGTTTTACGTCAGTCAGACCTTTGTTACCGGCCGAAGGACAGAGAGAACTTTTCTCCATCACCTCTAAAGTATAAATCCTGCGGCAAGTTCGACAGTAAAAGACCATTGAAAGACGGAGAAGTCTTGACACTCTTTGCAAACGCCACCATGTCATATCCGTTTCACGCCACTTGATGAACACATCTAGGACAAATCCATACAAATCTTAAATGACTTATCAGTACAACAAGCGCTTGGTTGTCCTCTGGCCAAGCTAAACATGTACATGCTATTCTGTTATTCCGGCATGCGGGCTTAGGTCTTCTGTCAAAGTGCCATAGACTCGGCGCAGAATGATCAAACCATGGTACTGCAGTCCATTCTGGCCGCGAAGCAAGCCAATACCGAGAAGATTCGACAATTGCAGCTTGGATGTTCCAAGGTGCTACCTTGATTTCATTTGGTAATTCATCTTGACCATAGAATGCGTTTCTTCCTTTCGGGCAGGCTTGGGTGTCACTTGACAAACTTGATCCAGGTCCGCAAAACCCTCTTCACAGATCTTCAGCGCTCTTCCAAGGGAAGTGCCGCGCACTTTAAAATCGGATTCCTTACAGTTAAGTAACGGCATATAACGGATAAAGTCGCCAAACCAACTGCAAGAATGGTTCATCGCTGGAACATATTGGAGACGTTTGCTTGGGCGCAACTGAAAGCCTTTGGAAGGATCCTCAAAGCCTCCCGAAACTCACCAGCAACGGCCCTTGGAAAGTGCGGACACGTTGAAAAAAAGGTAAGCACATTCATATAGCTTTGTACTTTTCTACTTCCGTATTCAGTGCGTTTTCTGTTGGAATGCCACAGCGGTAGGCGACCCACAGCTTCATATGGATGTTAAGTAACCAAATCATTGGTACGGGCGCTTCGTCAAGGAAGCCCTCAGGCGGGGGGAGCTTCCTTGAAGAAGCATGAGCTATCCTGTGTCCAGTATGTAGTAGCTTAAGTAGCTACTAGCTACCTCTTACGCCTCCCCTCCGCACTTTAAAAAATAGACGACAAGCATCGGCACTTGGGCTAAGGTTCCAAGCAATTGATATCGAAGATTCGGGTGTTGTCACCTACAAGTGGCGTGGCGATTGGATTCCACGTTAGATTGTGCTGTGAATATCTGTGAATCTATGCCTTTGTGGTGCAATTGATGTTGTATATACAAAATAGTTGTTGCTATAATGATCGAATTGCAGTTGTTGCTTCAGCAAATGGTTTCATTTGATGACTCTGTCTTGCACCGGTGCGCCGAACTGCTTGTCACTGATTCAAAGCCAAAGGGGACAGCCAAAGGCCTCATGCAATCAAAGGCCTCATATGCTGGTCTCAACTGCCTTGCTTCAGCTTGCCTGTTTCGCACCCAGGATGTTGGAGCAGTCTGTGCTGTCGGGGCAAGTGCAGTGCCCTGTCCCAGCACATGACGCAAGCGACACAAGCGACGTAAGCGACGTAAGCGACGTAAGCGCAAGGCCGTCGCCTTTTGTCCTCTACAGTTGTGCTGAACATCCTGCCAATGGTTGAGCGCGTGGGATGTTTATATAACGATGCCAGACATAGAGCAGTCAATGACAATCTGAGGACCATTTTTGAGTCCATTGGACTGGATGTATGGGATGCCTCTTGGTGAGAAAAGGATGGACGCCATGCTTCGTGAAAGGCTCTAATTACAAAGTGTGGGAATCTGCCTTCCGATTTTGCATGGCCATTTCATGTCATTTCCAGTGGTGAATTTCATCTTTCGGAGCATGGACGCGGGAAGCTTCACTTGCAGACAGCAGCCTTGACGTCCAATTAAAGGAGCTGTTTAGTAATGTGTAGCAAGGGCATGCCAGCGGGCCTTTCTGTCTTGAAAGTACCGTCTGTGATGGGTTCAAGGGCCCAATTGAGTTGAGGATGGGCTACTGAGGGGCTGGTAAGATGTGGTAAGGCTCCTGACAGCCTCCCGAGTTGTCGTGTTTTGAGGCTTGGTCCTTCTTCAAGCTCTTGGACTTAGATGCAGGTCACCTAAAGCGGTAAGGGAAGGGAACGGAGCGCTGCGTGACAACGAAGGGGTGTGAAAGTTGAGGGACTGATTGAAGCTGCTGCGTGACAAGGTATTTCCACACCACTACGCCGCTGCACCAAAAAAGTTCTCAATTGCTTTCATAAAAAGCATAAACGCGCTCAAATGCTTATATATCTTCCTTTGGATGACGAAAGGTGGCGCAGTGGAGATCGAGGAGTTTCTGCAAGGCTCCTCGACCAATGGCACTGTGACAGGGTCCAGTTGGATCTTCAAGGGTAGCAAAGGCCAAAACAACACAAGGATTGACGAGGATGGACAAGAATGATACTTGTGACCTCCAATCGAATAGCGGCCTCCTAGAGTACGTTGGTTGCAGGTTGAAGCCTGGTTACCTGGTTTCGCGTGCACGGATTCCTCGTCAACGGATTCCATCGACTGCCCAGGTTGCCTTCGACTCCGTGGAGAGGCGAGAGCCATGGATGTGGTGAAGATTGTGCATGACCAGGCCGAAGAATTCAGAAAAGAGCTACTAGGGTGGCCATCGCTACTACAGGTTGGAGGCCATGGCTATTAGAATTATTAGAAACAAAGAAGAAAGAAAAGGAAGACAGGTCAAGACGCTACTAGGGGCTCCTGGCATCGCTACTAGTAACAAGGACGCTGCTAGTTTGCTCTTAGGTTGGAGGCCATCGCTAGTAACAGTAGGTTGGAGTCACGGGGGCCGACGGAACCTCACCATTTTGCAAGTCTGTGAAGCTATCCCTTGGTTGAATTGATTTTGCTTTGAGAACTTTTCGGATCACAAGTTGTAAAAGAAGAAGCGTACATCGGAAGTGCCAACACCAACAAGTTTTGGCTGTTGAGTGCTTTTATTCTGAAACTTGACAACATTATCAAACATGGCTGAGACCCGACAGCAACTCCACGCAAGATGAACTTGCACTTGCCAGGGCTGGTTGATCCGCCAACAAAGCCGCTTTTGGACTTTCATGGAGGCCAGGATGTGTGCGAGAGCTGTGGGAGATGGTGGAGTCCGAAAGGGGCCCTGGTATGCAGTGTTGTAGAAGTTTGTGTTTTTCCGTTTCAGCTTGTCAGTTTGTTCGATTCTGTGGTTTGTATCCACCAACTAACTTCAATTACCAACCTCAGTCAAGTTCCACCTATTTAAGTTTCCCCCAAAATCTAGAAACCAAATCATTAGTAGTGCGAGCGCTTCTTCAAGGAAGCGTGAGCTATCCTGCGTCCTAGGTAGTAGCTGAAGTGCTACTAGCGACCTCTCTTCTACTAGCTACCTCGGCTTCCCCCCGGCCCCCCCTATTAGTAGTTATTAGGGGAGAAGAAGAAGAAATGCCATTGCCATTGAGAGGAGGACTTAGCGACTTAGCGCAAATTCTGCTTCTGGGCTCTGGCCCAACGCTCGAGCACTTCCTCTCCGAGAGCACTTCCTCTTGGATACATGTACTAGCATATATTTGAAAAAACTATGTAATAGCTATTGTTTAATAGCTGTAAACATGTAACGTAAAAGAAATTGCACCGCTACTGTGGTCCTTCGCATGGCTTGGTCCTTCAATGAAGGAGCAAGTTCGTGAGCTCAAAGCAAGCATCGATGATGTCAAGTGGCTTGGACTTGGACAGACGTGTGCCTGGTGAGAGCAACTTTATATATTGTGCCTTTTGAATGATTTAAGTTGAATGATGTTGAATGTGTGCTGCCAGTTGTGCTGCCATGTGCTGCCTTTGGTGTTGATTTGTACGATGCTCAGCCTTCTCAAACTGAGGCGGTCGCCAAGATGACAGATATCAACCATTATTTGCCTTGCTGCCAGACGAAATGGCCTAGACAAGTTTTAAGCACGGAAGAATGGACATGTTCCGCAGTTTCGAAATACCAGCGCTGCTCTTGTAGAAATCGCACTGGCGGTTTTGATTGGGTCGGCAGAATGACAACAATGCTTGATCGAACGCAAGCGGCCCTTTGTAGTTGCACAAGAACTCCAATCAAAACTTGATGTACTGCCATAGTTCAGACCACGTGGGAAAATTGACTTCCTACTACCCAGGAACTGCGCCCTCACTTTATCTCTTGTGTTCGCCAAGAATGAAGTTCATGGGCTAGCTAAGAAAAACCATGCAAGTACCAAAGCTATCCAATGAATCTTGCCCACATTCCCTCAACTCTTCTTCTGAACTGACTTGTAAGCTCTTGTTCAAGTTTTCCCGAATGCGTAGCGAAGGGTTCTCGTTTAACTTGGGAGTCTGAGGGTAGAGCTGTGTTTGCCCGACGTTGTTTTCGAGTTCGCAACCGTCCGCAACCGTTTGCAACCGTCCGCCACCGTCCGCAACCGTCCGTATGATGTCTCGGCCGGGCCATTGGGGGAAGCTTTGGGAGTAGGTTTCGAATGGAAACGTGACGTGTCAGATTCGTGTGAAATAGAGAGGAACCGTGTGGAAATGTAAGATGCCGAAGTGTGGAGGATGATTTCACTGCGCAGGTGCAGCGTTTTGTGAGATCCGCAGTTTGCTGCGCAGTTCCATTGGGATTAGCGTTTGGAGAGTCGTGATTTTGGGGTGTTGGATGTGGTCGTGCCATTGGGATTTGCGTTTCAGGGTGTTGCATCGAAGCTCTGTTTTCGTGACAAGTCTCAGCTGAAACGGCGATTTTGGTGGGTGGGAGTGTCGGGTCGAAATCATTCCAAACGCAAATTTTGTTGAAGCTCACATGAGATGATATTGTCACTTTTCGTGGCAGGCGCAGTACTTTGTGCGGGGTTTGAGGTGTGGAAGTGCGATTTTCGTGGCAGGCGCAGGGAATCGTGAGGTTGCAAGGTGTGACGGAGGTGACATTTCGTGGCAGGCGCCGTACTTTGTGCGCGTTAGACGTGTGGACGCGGAAAGATTCGTGGCAGGCGCAGGGAATCGTGAGGTTGTGAGTTGTGGTATAGAGGTGAATGTCGCTGTTACATTGGGATTGGCGTGTGAGCGGGTGTTGTTTGGAGGGCTCGAATCGCGAAACTGCTTGGCAGGGCTGCGTGATGTGTGTGTGCTCCGATGGGTGTTTCCGCTTGACTTTTTGAGGAAGTCTCGTACGAAACGCTCGTTTTGCAGACTTTGACATGTGAGTTTTGAGGAAGTCTCGTACGAACCGCTCGTTTTGGAGAACTTTTTGAGGAAGTCTCGTACGAAACGCTCGTTTTGGAGACTTGATGTGTGACTTTTGGAGGAGGTCTCGTACGAAATGCTCGTCTTGCAGCCTCGAAGCGTGACTTTTGGAGGACGTCTCGTACGAAACGCTCGCATGACTGCTTCCAGTGTGTGGGCAGACCGTGTGGCGACACGACGTTCGTGATGTCGCAGTGCCATTGGGATTTGCGCAGCCTTGGTGGAGAGTGCGTTTGCGTGGCTCCGTGCCACTGGGGAGCGCGAAACACGCTGGCGTAAACGCGGCGTGTCGCTGGTGAGCGGGATGATTTGTGGTATCATGTGATATGTTTGCTTCAAGTGTGTGGGCAGACGGTGTGGCGACATGACGTTCGTGATGTTGCAGTGCCTTTGGGATTTGCGCGGCCTGGGTGAGAAGTCTGTTTTTCGTGCATGGCGCTGTGCCACTGGGGAGCGCGAAACAGGCTGGCGTAAACGCGGCGCGTCGCTGGTAAGCGGGATGTTTTGTGGTATCATGTGATATGTTTGCTTCAAGTGTGTGGGCAGACGGTGTGGCGACATGACGTTCATGATGTTGCAGTGCCTTTGGGATTTGCGCGGCCTGGGTGAGAAGTCTGTTTTTCGTGCATGGCGCTGTGCCACTGGGGAGCGCGAAACAGGCTGGCGTAAACGCGGCGCGTCGCTGGTAAGCGGGATGTTTTGTGGTATCATGTGATATGTTTGCTTCAAGTGTGTGGGCAGACGGTGTGGCGACGTGACGTTCGTGATGTTGCAGTGCCTTTGGGATTTGCGCGGCCTGGGTGGAGAGTGCGTTTGCGTGGCGCCGTGCCACTGGGGAGCGAGAAGCATGCTGGCGTAAACGCGGCGCGTCGCTGGTAAGCGGGATGTTTTGTGGTATCAAGAGTGTCCCTAAAGAGTGCGCCGCAAGAGCTTCCTACAAGAGTGACCCACAAGAGTGTCCTACAAGAGTGTCCCAGATAGAGTGTCCCACAAGAGTGTCCCGTATGAGTGTCCCACAAGAAAGTCCCACAAGAGTGTCCCGCAACCGTGTCCCACAAGAGTGTCTCACAAGAGTGTCCTATAAGAGTGTCCCACATGAGTGTCCTACAAGAGTCCTACAAGAGTATCCCACAAGAGTGTCCCACAAGAGTGTCCCACAAGAGTGTCCTACGAGAGTGTCCCACAAGAGTGTCCAACCAGAGTGTCCCACAAGAGTGTCCCACAAGAGTTTGCTACAAGAGTGTCCCACAAGAGTGTCCTACAAGAGTGCCCCACAAGAGTGTCCGACAAGAGTGTCCCATAAGAGTGACCCACAAGAGTGTCCTATAAGAGTGTCCCACAAGAGTGTCCTACCAGAGTGTCCCACAAGAGTGTCCTATAAGAGTGTCCCACAAGGAGTGTCCCACAAGAGTGTCATTTGGACATTCGGGTTCGTGGGCTCCATTTTTCCCGAATGCGTAGCGAAGGGTTCCCGTTTATAGTTGGGGGTCTGGGGGTTGGAGCTGTGTTTGCATGGCTTGCGTCGTGTCGTCGTCTCTCGTCGTTTGTCGTCGTCGTCGCGTCTCAAATTCGCTGCCATTGGGGGAAGCTTTTGCAAGTGACTTTGCATGGATGTGTCACGTGTCAGTTTGCGCCGCTATTCCATTGTGATTTGCATGACAAGGACATGTCGCGCAAGAAACGTGATGCATTTCGCTGCACAGGCGCAGCGTTTTGCGAGATCCGCAGATTGCGGCGCAGTTCCATTGGGATTAGCGTTTGGAGAGTCGTGTTTTTGGGTGTTGGATGTGGCCGTGCCATTGGGATTTGCGTTTCATGGTGTGGCATCAAGCTCGGTTTTCGTGACAAGTCTCAGCTGACATGGCGATTTTGGTGGATGGGAGTGTGCTCAGAACGGGTCGAAACCATTCCAAACGTGTGGTGTGGTGCAAATTTTGTTGAAGCTCACATGAGATGATATTGTCACTTTTCGTGGCAGGCGCAGGACTTTGTGCGGGTTTTGAAGCGTGGAAGTGCGATTCTCGTGGCAGGCGCAGGGGATCGTGAGGTTGCGAGGTGTGATGGAGGTTACATTTTGTGGCAGGCGCAGTACTTTGTGCGCGTTAGACGTGTGGACGCGGAAAGATTCGTGGCAGAGGTGAATGTCGCTGTCACATTGGGATTGGCGTGTGAGCGGATGTTGTTTGGAGGGGCTGGAATCGCGAAACTGCTTGGCAGGGCTGCGTGATGTGTGCTCCGATGGGTGTTCCCGCTTGACTTTTGGAGGAAGTCTCGTACGAAACGCTCGTTTTGCGGACTTTGACGTGTGAGTTTTTGAGGAAGTCTCCCACGAAACGCTCGTTTTGGAGACTTGACGCGCAACCCTCTGCGGAGATCGTGCGTGTCGAGAGTGCGAAATGCAGGCGAGAGTGCGATTTGTCCCATGCGCGCACAACTCTCAGCGGAGATCGTGCGTGTCGAGTGCGCGAAATGCAGGCGAGAGTGCGA